TCTCTCTCTTTCTCCCTCACTTCTTCCGTTCCTTTTTTTTTCTAGATTCTCTCTTATTTTTTCTGAACTTGCAGGCTGCTTCAAAACCTGGATCTCCTGAATCATTGCAACAGTTGATCGAGGTGATCAGAAATCCTTCTGCTAGTGTGGGTGCTTTATCTAGTGCCGCTGCTGGGAAGGAGGATAAGGCTAGGCAATCTAGAGACAAAAAGGTCAATGGTTCATCCATGGTATTGCATTGTTCTTAAGTCTATTAATATTTCTTCTGACCTGAAATCGTTCTCTTGAAGCAGGTACCTGGGCACACATTGGCTAATAGGGACGATAATAGCAATGTGGAGAATCTAGAACCAGATCCTGCTGGCTTCAAGGAGCAGGTGACCTTAATTGCTTCTCTCTGCCCCTTTTTTTTTAATTTGTTTCGAGGTCTAAGAAGGAATTGTGAGAATGCTTTGTGCATATTATAGATTTCACTAATAATCTGATGGAGTTAAAAGTATCGTATTGATGAGAGTGGAAAATTTGGGAGGATGTTAAGTGTATTTGAGAAAATGGTAAACCTAGTGGTGTTATGTTCTTGAACAAAAATGCCTATTAAAAGCTCAATGAATTGGGTCCTCTGCACAGAGTAATAGTATGTTGTATCTTTTGTCAAAGTATTCCCCACTGAGACTGCAACCATCTCAAAATTAAAGCAAGCAATCTTTGGCCTGCCTCCTGCCACAATGAGTGGTGTACACATATTATTATTGTCCTAATATGGTCTGAGAATGTTTCAAAATTACAGTAGTCACCACCTTTGATTCTATGGAGGTTGAGATTTTTTAATAGGATGGGGCTGATTTACGTTTTTAAACTACTACTTGCATCCTGTTACATATGTGCCTATTTTTTTTTATATTTTGCTTCATGATGCAAGTACTTCTTCCTGCAGGCATGCAGCATTCATATTGTTGTTACTCTAATCATATATCTTCCCTATGTATCTTGTCTCTCTCTTTCCATCACTCCTTTTTCTTGTGTCCTTTGTCTCCCCCATCCTGCCCTCCCTTTTTTCTCCTTACATGTGTAGGGAAAGTGGGCCCATTATGAAATTCTTAGTCGTTAATTTCTCTCGAAAATCTTGTAGGTTTCCATGCTGTTTGCAGAATGGTACCAGATATGTGAGATTCCTGGTGCAAATGATGGACCTTGTAATCATTACATTGTGCAATTGCATCAAAATGGACTGCTCAAAGGGATGATATGACAGAACGCTTTTTTCGCATTATCACGGTGAATCTCTTCCCCTGCCCCCCTTTCTTCTCACTCTCTCTCTCTCTCCACCCTCCCCCCCCTCCCCCTTTTCCCTTCTTGTTACATATATTGACCAGAGAACTCAGGAGGCCAAACTCATTTTTTGTTTTTCCTTCATGGTAGGAACTTTCTGTCGCACATTGCCTATCTTCTGAGGTTATGAGTTCTGGCACATTGCAATCACCTCAGCAGGCTCAGACTCTGTCTTTCCTTGCCATTGATATTTATGCAAAACTTGTGTTGTCAATCCTTAAGGTCTTGTTATATCTTTTGCACATTATATTGCTATGATCTTCTCATTTTAAATCTAATCCTTGCTAACTTTTTCCTTTTTCTTTTTTGGCAATTTCTTTAGTATTGCCCAGTGGAACAGGGATCAAGTAAACTCTTTCTTATGTCCAAGGTGAATATTCTCTTCCTTCAATTTTGTATGTCTTGATTTTGTTTTCCAGGAATATTTAATGATATTTATGGTGCTTAACAGATTTTGACCGTGACTGTGAGATTTATTCAAAAAGATGCAGAGGATAAGAAAGCATCTTTTAATCCAAGACCATATTTCAGATTATTTATCAACTGGCTGTCAGATCTTGGGTGCTTGGACCCTGTCACTGATGGTGCAAGTTTTCAGGTAGGTTCATTTGCATATACTTAGTTGTCATTATTGCCATTAAATAACTAATTCTCATTGTGTTTGTTGCAGATTTTGATGGCCTTTGCCAATGCATTTCATGCATTGCAGCCCCTTAAAGTTCCTGCCTTCAGGTAAAAATTGTGAGTTTGTTGAGTTATCAATGTGCTTTTATAATTTGCTGTCCCATCTTGAAAAGGCAGCATTTATGATGCAATTTGAGTCCGAGTCAAAAATTTTCCTTGCGAAGGGTTGGTTTAGTTTCTTATTATCTTGAATTAATTCTTGATTGGGCACCTGTAATGAGTTGTCTTATCTTATACTAGGGTTTCTAACAAATTGGCCTGTTTAGTTAAATTATATGTTAGCTATGGTTTGCAGGTATAAAATAGCTTCTGTAACAAACTTAAATGAGTGCTCTTTGTACTGCTTTGTTTCTCATGTATGATCCTGTGTGGTGGAACTATCTAATGTCCAAAAATTGCATCACCTGGATTTCTGTGGTTACTTGTTCCTGTTCCCATAGGGCTTGGTTTCTATTAATTGTTCGAGTACTTGAATAAAGATTCTCATGAGGACATTGTGTCCAGTAGGAAGAAATTGGAAAAGCAGTAACTGGTTGTTCAGCATGATTATGTTGTCATGCTTATTTACAATTCTGGAAGATGATATTTGAAAGTCCTATTACTTCTACTTATGTTCATTGTCACCGTGCTGTTGTAGCTTTGCATGGCTAGAGCTGGTCAGTCACAGGAGTTTCATGCCAAAATTGCTCACTGGAAATGCTCAGAAGGGTTGGGCCTATATACAACGCTTGCTGGTGGACTTGCTTCAGTTCCTTGAGCCGTTTTTAAGGAATGCTGAGCTTGGAGTGCCGGTTTGCCTCTTTCTAAACACTAATTTCATTATTCGTTGCCTTTGTAAAAAAAAATTATGATAGCCCACTTATTCTTTCTTGTGTTGTTTGTGTAGGTTCAGTGTTTGTATAAAGGCACACTTAGGGTGCTGCTAGTGCTGCTTCATGACTTTCCTGAATTCCTGTGTGATTATCATTTTACCTTCTGTGATGTGATTCCTCCAAGCTGCATACAGATGCGGAATATTATCCTTAGTGCATTTCCACGTAATATGAGGCTGCCAGATCCATCTACACCAAACTTAAAGGTGTCAATTGATCAAGCTTGATCTTTCTTCAGATTGTTTAATCATGAATTTAATTCTATAATCGCTTGGTGTGCAGATTGACTTGCTTCCAGAAATCAGAGAACCACCCCGCATCCTCTCTGAGGTTGATGCTGCTCTTAAAGCAAAGCAGATGAAGGCCGATGTAGATGAGTATCTCAAGGTACCTCAATCCCATGGTGTTGGACTTTATGAATTGGCTTCTTTCTTGCCCATTCCGAAATTTCATGATGGTTGTCTTTATTATTTACTCCAATCTATTTTTCTTATCTAACATTTCTCAAATATTAGAATTGCTGTTCTCTCCTTACTTTTCATCCAAATGTTTTGGTTCTTGTAAATGATCCATTTATTATACCTTCCTAAATTGTTTGCTCAAAATCATCTGAAATATTTGCTGCAGACAAGGCCACAAGGAGGATCTTCATTTCTTACTGAACTGAAACAAAGACTGCTCCTTTCACCAAGCGAGGCAGCATCTGCTGGTACCCGTTATAATGTACCATTAATCAACTCGCTGGTACTTTATGTTGGAATGCAGGTATGCTATAGTTTATTCTACTTCTCTGTATCTTATCTATAATGTTTCTTCAATCTGATGGGGACCTTTTTTATTTGCTAGTTTGGGCATGCATTATTTTGTTTCTGATCTCATCCTTTCTTAATTAAAGGGTTTTTTTATGGAAGCCTTTATGGACATGGGAAAAACTTTAGAATGGATGGCTTCTACTGAAAATTTATCATCTGCATTTCACGAATTTAACTTCAGTGTTTAATGAATTCTTGTGACGAATTGCTTTTAGGCCATTCAGCAACTGCAGTCAAGAGGATCTCATGCACAGTCAACGGGAAACACTGTTCCATTGTCTGTGTTCTTGGTTAGTGCTGCCTTGGATATTTTCCAGAGTCTAATAGGGGAACTTGATACTGAGGGGCGATACCTTTTTCTTAATGCAATTGCTAACCAATTGCGATATCCAAACAACCATACACATTACTTCTCCTTCATCTTACTATACTTATTTGCCGAATCAAATCAGGTGAGAATTTCTGTTTGATGGTATTACATTGTTATCTGTTGCATTTCTGCTTCTCATTTCAGATTTATGAGAATATACTTTGCTTTCATCAGGAAATTATTCAAGAGCAAATTACAAGAGTTCTGTTGGAACGGCTAATTGTTAACAAACCTCATCCATGGGGTCTGCTCATTACCTTCATTGAGCTCATAAAGGTAAAAATTATTGTCAATCTGATCCTATTTTTGAGTGTTCTGATACAGAATATCCCCTTGAGGTTGATCGTGTTTATGTTTCAGAATCCAAGATACAACTTCTGGAATCGATCATTTATTAGGTGTGCACCTGAGATTGAAAAACTCTTTGAATCTGTTGCAAGATCATGTGGGGGCCTGAAACCTGTGGACGAGAGCATGGTTTCTGGTTGGGTATCTGACAGCGCGCACTGACCTATCTTAATGTCATACGATGGGAACTCTTTTTAAGTTTAAAAATCCCCATTCTTGTTATCTGTATATCATGTTTAATTGTTGTTTATCCTTGTATCCTGTAACAAAACCAGTTTAAACTTACTAGAGATTACTGCAGTCCTGTTTTATTTTCTTGTAAATACAAGAGGGCTGGAAGTACTCTGTATACATCGGGAGAATTTGATTATTCATGTATAGAAATGTGAATTAACACCTTTTTGGCTCCAAAACCAAATCAAGTGATGCTGGCTCGGCTTGTCTATCATCATCTATCTGATTCCCCAGGGACTATCTTTATGTTTTGCCCGTATAACTTCTGAGTGCAAAAGGGATTTTAGAGGGGGCTAAAGCCCAAAGAAATTAATCTAGTATAACGAAAATTAAACGTAAATTACAATATCGTGATCTTGAAAAATAATATTATATTTAGAAAATGAAATTTAAAATGTACTTGCATTATAAAGAAAAGAGTGATAAAATTGAATCTATCAAAGCAAAATCGAAAATAGCAGTTTGAAACTTGATTTTTCAAGCCTCCCTACGAACAAAATACAACTTGCCCATCACATGAAGAATAGCTACAAAAGCAATGAAACCAATGCTCATGACAAGCACAACGTTTGGAGAGATCTTAAGCCCCGGTGCATCATCTGTATAAAATTGAAGCATTGTCCCGGCAGCCCCTCCTGAAGCCGCACCGCTTGTGGTTCTCCTCCTCCTCATGCTTGCAGCTGCTGCTGCACTTCCTCTTGGTGGAGCTGTCCCTGTTGCCATTTCTGTAACAACCACCAAAGCTATGCCAATTCAAGAATTGACATGAAACGTATATATTCTAAGGACATTAATGAAAAATGGCTGCCATGCAAAATGTGCTATAGTACACAATTTCCGAAGCAAATTACCAATAATTGCAAGGAACAAATAAGAGTTTTGAACAAAATAAAGCCAGCAGGCATGCATGTAGACAAGTTTACCCAAAGTTAAGCATCATCATAAAAAAAAAAAATTACAACAACAATCATTATGCTATCTTTTAAACCAATCTTTATGATCCTATTAAAGATATGATAATGTAATTGATTAGTACTCATAAATAATCTTTATGCTCGAAGCAAATTGTATTATGCTAATTGAATCACCCAAAAAGAAAATCATGGAATTCCTCCCACGAAAATGTAAGATTCGATCAAATTACAATCTAATTCGATTTGAAAGGTTCAGGCATGCACCGAATCCTAGTCAGCGATCATAAACAAAGAATTTCGAAAACCCTATACTTGAGAGGTTTAAGAAACAACAGATCAAATGATGCAAAAAACATCAAATCTTAGAAACAAGATCTAAAATCAAATAATCCTGCAGATCGATCTATTCTACTCGGATGCCAAATGGAGATAAATCCAAAATCAAGCCATCGTCTATAACATCGCAAGAATTAAAATCTAATGGAAGATAGAGAGACAGAGAAAGAGAGATAAGAAGAACTCGCCCGAGTCGACTCAAATTCCAGATCGTGAGTTCGCAAGTTTTTTGAAGATGCCTGATTAATATCTTTGACTTAGAACGCAAAACATGGGCTTCCGGTCCATATATAGGCGCAAACGGAACTCCTGGGCACTTCCACGCAGCAGTGACCAATCCATTTTAGCCACGTCATCCATTACAGTCGGAACAAAGGAGGAGTCAAACTTGCCTGCATGCATTGTTTAGGACGAAGCGACTGTGTGGGCTAACTAGGCCCAATTTCTGTGGGCTGTCTAGGCCCAATTTATGTGGGCTGTCTAGGCCCAATTTGAGAAAGCTTTGGCCTTTTTATGGACCAAAGAATAAATAAATAAAATTTAAAAATCAACAGAAATATATGTGGATATCATATAACACTTATTTTTATCCTTTTGAGAAAAAGATATTTTCCATTTTTTGACTTCAATATCTATTTTATTGTTAATCGATTCGCGTGAAAAAATATATCTTTACATGAGTTTATATTTAATACATTATTATTGTTTAAATTCTATATGTTATCACCAGACTGAATTTTTTCATATTGTTCATAAATAAATATTGAAAAATTAAAAAATGTTTAAAAATAAATATCATCAATTTTAAAAATATTTATTTCAAAACAATTTTGAACATATGCTTTTACACATTCATGAACCGGCATCTTATGATTAAATGACAATATGTAAGTCTTATAAACAGACACTGTATCAAGTATTTCCATGCAAACAAGCACATTTAACCTGGAGAAATGCTACAATTAATGAGCATGGAAAAATGGGGGAGTGTAAAACTATATCATCCTTTCCGTTTTACATCAAGTAACAAAGTCAGGGGACTACATTTGTTAATGAAACTAGAAAAAAATCTAACCTCACTGAAAAAATTAGATGGTACCAGACTTCCCAGCACTAATGATACATTAACAAAGGTATTCGTGCTTGATGTTGACATTTGGCATACAGGTTATAACCCCATATACAACAACCGGGTAGAGACAGGAATCAAAATAATTCATATGACAACTCTGCTAGGCTAGGCTGGCTTAATGCTTGTTGAGAATGGCAAAATCAGCCTTTTCTATCAGGCCGTCACCATAAATGAACATCATGTGAAGTATAGAAAGTACTGGTGATCATGGAGTCTTACAGGGTGGTGTGTATGTGTTTCTTTCACATCTTGTTGCAGATGCATAGTGTCATTAAGGAGAACAATCAATCCTTTGACCTCTTGAAGAATCTACCACCTTTCTTTCCGATTCCAGTACCTGCAAGATTTGAGGATAGCAGAGATCTGGAATCTGGTCTCCATTTCAACTCTTTGAGCATAGAAAACAAAGTTGCCAGTTCAGGTGTGACTTCGGTATCCTTAATATTGTTACATGACATTACTCTCAATCGCTGAAGCTCTTTACAAGAAAGCACTACCGACTCCAAACCTTGTATTGTCAGTAATGAGCACCCTTCCAGGGAAAGAAGCGTCACTCTCCTACAAAGTGTGGAAAAGAGAAAAAGAATAGGTAACCAAAATTCGAATAATGGAGAGGGAAAAAATTACTGTTGCGAAATGACTATCCAGGGAAAAAGTGATGAAAAAAACTAGACAGCTAAGGATGAATCATTATCATCAACTAAAATTCCTTATTAACTACTGTTTGAATATGAAAATTACCTAAGAAACATGCAGAAGCAAAATTATCATGTTAAAGGCATGCCATAAGCATATCAATGAGATATTAAACCTATCAAGCATCAAGAGGAAGGGAATGTCCTCTTAATTATTTGGAATACATCTGAGCTTTCTAGAAATTCATTGCTTTCATTTGTGCAGATAATTTCAGGAGAAATCAACTGTCAAAGGCCTCAACTAAGTCTTAAAATTTCCTCTGGTCATATTGCAGATTAAAGGGCCCATTGCTCGAAAACGGAAGCCTTTTAAAACCCGATCACTAATTTTACCCATCAACTTGGTTAAACAATTCAACCATTCTCTAGTAAGATCATCAATTCACCAATACTCTGCTTCCTGATTAGCAATGCCAATAAAAAGTACTTTCTAGGGATAAAAGGTTGCAAATAATCTAACACTGAAATTGAATCATCAAAGCTTTTGCACCTAGAATTAGCTAGTTTTAGTCCACCGTCCTATTGATACATACATCATCTCAAATCAGAAGCAGAAAACATACAAAACTATAATAAGCCAAGTAAAAGAAAAGGAAAATGGTAATCGAAATGGAAAAAGTCTCATACCTACAAATACTTGCAATGCTAAACACATCATCCTCCAAACCCCAACAATTCTGTAAAATAATGTCCCTAACATTCTGGCAAACCAAACACAAAGCTTTAAAACTTTGCTTATCCCGAATCTGACACCGCTGCAAATGCAACTCTTCAAGAGTCAAACAAGATCCCAAATGCTCATCCGCCCCTGGACTATTGTCTATACTTTTACAAGACTTAAGCCTCAAAGTCTTCAAATTCCCACAAAACGAAAGCCCAGATAACCACCCACCATCCATTCTATGATCACGAAGACTCAATTCTTCAAGCATTTGACAACATTGCCCTATCGCCTTAATTCCATCGTAACTCCCTTCACATCCACAAAGTTCAAGCTTAACTAACCTTCTGCACCCTTGAGCTAATAATGTTAACCCAATGTCTGAAACTATCGAATTATAAAACCCATCAATAAAACCAATCAATTTCACTACCTGTAAGTTTTTAATCCCCGAAATACCCTTCAAAGCCATATCCCCACAACAATGCAATTCCAATTCTTGCAATGTGGAACACTCCTCAGCAATTCTTAACAACCCTTCTTCGCTCGCCCCAATCGCCACTAATCTCTGTAAAGTCGGGTACTTTTCGGCTATCATTTTAAGCCCTTGGTCAACAGAATTTGACGGTAACAACGCTGTTTCTTGGAGAAACCCGTTGGGGGTAAAATCAGTATCGACATGAACCGTCATCGTTTTGTGGGTCATTAAAATCCCAGAGCTCCTCGGCGTCCGAATGCCCGAACGGACGAGGTCTAAATCGGTGAGATTGGGAAACCGGTTAAAAACCCGACCAGAAATGATAAATGACCAATCTGTAACTTTAAGGGATTGCACCAAGCGGCCGCTAAGGTACAACCAACGTTTGCAGACCAAGGACTTGGAGACATGCTGAGAGATGGGAAGCTTCGAGAAGATTCTGAGAAGGAGTTCGTCGGAGAGGAGGGACGTGTGATCTGGCGAGTTGGGGTCTAAGGAAAGTGATTGAAATGACGTTAAATCAGGCTCGGATGGCGGGAAAGTTGATGGGGTGTTGCCGGGAGGACGTTGGAACTGCTGCTGCATCTTGCAAATAACATGCTTCAGAGCTTGTTCTTTGGACCAAATGTCTGGTGAGCTTGGAGCCCTTGGCCTCCCCTTGGGATTTAGTGATGGCGGTGGCTTTAAGTCTAAGTTTTCATGGTAATGGTCAGAATTAGGGCTAAGGTTAGCGCTAGGGTTTGTCTTTGGGGAATTTGGTGATTCTGGTGAACGTGACATTTTGTAAGGGTTTGGGGTTTTTTTAAACCAAAAAAAGAGTTTGAAAGTTTCTGGAAAATCCAATCCAAAAAGCATAAACTAATTAATTGCATTAGCTAATTAGTTTATCTCTCTGTTTCTATCTTTTTGTCTAATTGAAGTAAAGATTCAGCTTCTCCTCTGTGTAGTTTCCCACTTTCCATCACTGGATTGACTCCCAACAAAAACATAACCATTTTTCTCTTTCTATTAACCCCTTCCCTACGATAATCCCTTCAAGAAGGGGAAGAAAAGTTTAGCCAAAAAGCAACCAACCCCCATGAACTAAAGGAACACCCTTTGAAAGGGTGCCACGTTTTCAAAGTGTTGAAGTGTTTGGCATGACGTGGCATAATAATATACAATGATTGGAGCTGGGAGGCATGAATTTGGTGCAGTTGATCGGTATACCGATGACCTCAAACTGGTTGATCCTCCTTGTCCGCGCGCGCGCGCACACACACACACTTGTGTTTTGCCATTACAACGTTGTTCAGTTTTGTCTTTTGTAATAATCTGTGATTTGAGCAGCCGACTTTTGTAAGTGGATAAGATCTTGTTTTCCCTTTTCCCCCATTGCCCCATTGCCAGCCATGCCCAAAAAATTATTTGTTAATTATCATGGAAAATAAAAAGGAATCATCTTGGAGAAGAAAAAGGATGGGCCTTTTTCAGGTAAAGCAAAATAATTATAACTTTGACTGCAGGAAGTAAACATACAAAAAAGAAAAGGGGCAAAAGAGACTTAACAGAAAATAATTTTGTTTTTAGTGATGAGGTATTCAGGGTCATATCCCTTTTGAGTTAAATCAAATTAGTAATCATTCAAGAATGATTGGATGAAGGGGCTAGTATTTGGGTTTAGCTTCAAAACTTTTTTACTTTATTTTCGGCTTACTTAAGGAAGTTTTGTAGGTCCAAAACAGTAGAACAAACTGCATTTATGTGAAACTTGCTTTGTCCTGTAATTGATAGCTCGGATTTCCTTTTCTTAAATTTATAGCAGTCAGGTGGCCATGACTCCTGGGAAGTTCATTGAAACCGAAGCAAGGGAAATCAACATGAATGAATTCTGCTTTAAAGTAACGTAATAGTAATAATAAAGGGGGGGAAAAGGGGCCTGGGGGCAAAGCCCATCAGTAGACCCTGTTGACATACAGAACCAGATACGAGCCCATACAAATTTTCAGGATGTTTTGGAGTAAAAAAAGTTCGTGGCCCAGCTGCCGGTTCCAAATCCATTTGCAAACTTGTTTCAGCAATTTTCATTTTCCACTTGTGGTATTGCTGGCATGAAGCAACTGTACCAAGGTCGGGGATCGAAAGAAGATCACTTCATCTAGCTTTCTTCAGGTGAAGTAATTGACAGCTTTTTGCCAATGGTGCAGTATGGGGTGGAGGGGGGGCGTGTTTATGCAAGTACAGTTGATTAGTAGCCGAACGAAAAATGGGGTTTGAAGTTTTAACCTCTCTTTATTTGAGCTATAAATTATGAATTGAGAAGCTGACAGGATATGAAAATTGTTGGGAGGGTTTGCATGAAAATCAATACAGAGTTGAAGGGGTCA